TGTATGTATCTGAGTATGTGTCAGTGTGTGTATCTGTGTGTCAGTGTCAGGGCCGGCATGTCCATAAGGCAGCACAAATGGCCGCCTTATGGCGCACTGGCCCGGGGGGCGCTAGATTAGAGTGACCAGCAGGAGGTGGGTGCACAGCACTCCCCCCTACCAGTCACTCAGTGTAGCATGGCCGAGCAGAGCCACGCTACACTGCTCTGCCTGACACCGAGGGGCTGCGGATGAAAGCGACACACAGAAGGGCCTGGGGAGGAAATAAAAAGGGGCTTGGGGTGAAAGAGACACAGAGGGGCTGAAGAAGAGGAAAAAGAGACACAGAGGGGCTGGAGGGAGATAGATGGGATGGTGGTGAAAGAGAAACACACAAAGGAGCTGGAAAGCGTAAAAGACACAAAGGGGCTGGGAGAGAAGGAGGCACACAACGGGGCTAGTGGGAGTAAGATACACAAGGGGGGGTTGTAAGAGATACACAATGGGGAATAATAGGAGATAAGATACACTAAAGGGGGCAAGACATTTGAAAATGGGGATAAGAAACAAAAGGCGGGTTAAGAGTCACACAGGTGAAGATGCTAAACCGTTGGCAACAAAAGTGAGTACACCCCTAAGTGGAAATGTCCAAATTGGGCCCAATTAGCCATTTTCCCTCCCCGGTGTCATGTGACTCGTTGGTGTTGCTCAGGTGTGAATGGGGAGTAGATGTGTTAAGTTTGGTGTTATCGCTCACACACTCTCTCATACTGGTCACTGGGAGATCAGCATGGCACCTCATGGCAAAGAACTCTCTAAGGGTCTGAAAAAAAGAATTGTTGCTCTACATAAAGATGGCCTAGGCTATAAGAAGATTGCCAAGGAAACAAAAAATGAGCTGCAGTACGGTGGGCAAGACCATACAGCGGTTTCACAGGACAGGTTCCACTCAGAACAGGCCTCTCCATGGTCAACTAAAGAAGTTGCATGCACATGCTCAGCGTCATATACATATTTGTCTTTGGGAAATAGACGGATGAGTGCTGTCAGCATTGCTGCAGAGGTTGAAGGGGTGGGGGGTCAGCATGTCAGTGCTCAGACGATACATCGCACACTGCATCAAATTGGTCTGCATGGCTGTTATCCCAGAAGGAAGCCTCTTCTAAAGATGATGCACAAGAAAGCCTGCGAACAGTTTGCTGAAGACAAGCAGACTAAGGACATGGATTACTGGAATCATGTCCTGTGGTCCAATGAGACCAAGACAAACTTATTTGGTTCAGATGGTGTCAATCACTGGCGTACATATAGCGGTCGCATGGGTCGCAGCTGCGACCGGGCCTGTCACTCCAGGGGGCCCGGCCGCCCTGCAGACCCCTGCGACCAGGTGTCCGCCATCATCATTTGCGCCCCTGGCCCGCGCGGCAAACCACGGGGGCCGCATGTTAAAGTGCCCATCGGGTGGCCCATGCTGTGAGGGCCACTCGATGGGCATGGCTTGTCAGGGGGCCCGGTTAGCGCTGCGGCGATTTAACAGCGCGACCGGGCCCCCTGTGATGAGATCATCACACGGTGGGATGTAGTGACTGCCTGTCACACCTCCCAGCTATCACTGAGAGCCCGCGCGGGAGGAAACAGAGGTAGTCAGAGAGGGAACTCTGACTCCCATCAACCTGAGCCACCACTGGACCCCAGGGAAAGTGACCCTCCTGCACCTAAAAGGTAGGAAACAGGAGGGTGACTTAAACATTATGTGTGTGTTTGTTTGTTTGTATGTATGTGTCTGTGTCTATCTGTCTGTATGTATATGTGCCTGTCTGTTTGCATGTATGTGTCTTTGTATGTATGTCGTGTGTGTGTGTGTGTGTGTGTCTGTCTGTCTGTATGTATCTGTCTTTCCTACAGTCAAGCATGGTGGTGGGAGTGTCATGGTCTGGGCCTGTATGAGTGCTGCCGGCACTGGGGAGCTACAGTTCATTGAGGGAACAACATGTACTGTGACATACTGAAGCAGAGCATGAACCCCTCCCTTCGGAGACTGGGCTGCAGGGCAGTATTCCAACATGATAACGACCCCAAACACACCTCCAAGACGACCACTGCCTTGCTAAAGAAGCTGAAGGTAAAGGTGATGGAATTGTCAAGCAAGTTTTCAGACCTAAACCTTATTGAGCATCTGTGGAGCATTCTCAAACGGAAGGTGGGGGAGCATAAAGTCTCTAACATCCACCAGCTCCGTGATGTCGTCATGGAGGAGTGGAAGAGGACTCCAGTAGCAACCTGTGAAGCTCTGGTGAACTCGATGCCCATGAGGGTTAAGGCAGTGCTGGAAAATAATGGTGGCCACACAAAATATTGACACCTTGGGTTCAATTTGGACATTTCCACTTAGGGGTGTACTCACTTTTGTTGCCATCGGCTTAGACATTAATGACTGTGTGTTGAGCTATTTTGAGGGGACAGCTTATTTACACTGTTATACAGGCTGTACACTTACTACTTTACATTGTAGCAGAGTGTAATTTCTTCAGTGTTGTCACATGAAAAGATATAAAATATTTACACTTTTGTGAGATATTGTATGTGTAAGTGTGTATCTGAGTGTGTGTTTCAATGTGTGTATCTGCATGTCAGTGTGTATCTGAGTGTGAGTTAAAAAACCTGCAGGGTTTATAGGGCCCTGTTGTAATGTCTGAAATACTGAGAGACCCAATATGCAGTGTGTAATGAATGTATGTGTTAGTGTGTATCTGAGTGTCAGTGTGTATATCTGAGTGTATGTGTCAGTGTGTGTATTTGAGTGTATTTGTGTGTTTCTGAGTGTGTGTTTCTATGTGTGTATCTGCATGTCAGTGTGTATCTGAGTGTATGTGTCAGTGTGTGTATTTGAGTGTATGGGTCTGTGTGTCAGTGTGTATGTATCTGAGTGTGTCAGTGTGTATATCTGAGTGTATGTGTCAGTGTGTATTTGAGTGTATCTGAGTGTATGTTTCCATGTGTGTATCTGCGTGTCAGTTTGTATCTGAGTGTGTATGTGTCAGTGTGTATCTGAGTGTATGGGTCTGTGTGTCAGTGTGTATGTATCTGAGTGTGTCAGTGTGTATATCTGAGTGTATGTGTCAGTGTGTATTTGAGTGTATCTGAGTGTATGTTTCCATGTGTGTATCTGCGTGTCAGTTTGTATCTGAGTGTGTATGTGTCAGTGTGTATCTGAGTGTATGGGTCTGTGTGTCAGTGTGTATGTATCTGAGTGTGTCAGTGTGTATATCTGAGTGTATGTGTCAGTGTGTATTTGAGTGTATCTGAGTGTGTGTTTCCATGTATGTATCTGTGTGTCAGTGTGTATCTGAGTGTATGTGTCATTTTGTATATCTGAGTGTATGTGTCAGTGTGTATATTTGAGGGTATGTGTGTGTATTTCCATGTGTGTATCTGCGTGTCAGTGTTTATGTATCTGAGTGTATGTCTGTGTATCTGAGTGTGTCAGTGTGGGTATTTGAGTGTGTGTTTCCATGTGTGTATCTGCGTGTCAGTGTGTATGTGCCAGTGCGGGTATCTGTGTGTCAGTGTGTATGTGTGTTTATCTGAGTGTGTCAGTGTGTATATCTGAGTGTATGTGTCAGTGTGGGTATTTGAGTGTGTGTTTCCATGTGTGTATCTGCGTGTCAGTGTGTATGTGCCAGTGCGGGTATCTGTGTGTCAGTGTGTATATCTGAGTGTATGTGTCAGTGTGGGTATTTGAGTGTGTGTTTCCATGTGTGTATCTGCCTGTCAGTGTGTATCTGAGTGTATGGGTCTGCTTGTCATTGTGTATGTATCTGAGTGTGTCAGTGTGTATATCTGAATGTTTGTGTCAGTGTGTATTTGAGTGTATCTGAGTGTGTGTTTCCATGTGTGTATCTGCGTGTCAGTGTGTATCTGAGTGTGTATATGCCAGTGCGTGTATCTGCATATCCGTGTGTATCTGAGTGTATGTGTGTGTATGTGACAGTGCGTGTATCTGCGTGTCAGTGTGTATCTGAGTGTGTATGTGCCAGTGCGTGTATCTGTGTGTCCGTGTGTATGTGCCAGTGCGTGTATCTGCATGTCCGTGTGTATCTGAGTGTATGTGCCGGTGCGTGTATCTGCGTGTCCGTGTGTATCTGAGTGTGTATGTGCCAGTGCGTGTATCTGTGTGTCCGTGTGTATGTGCCAGTGCGTGTATCTGCATGTCCGTGTGTATCTGAGTGTATGTGCCGGTGCGTGTATCTGTGTGTCCGTGTGTATGTGCCAGTGCGTGTATCTGCATGTCCGTGTGTATCTGAGTGTATGTGCCGGTGCGTGTATCTGCGTGTCCGTGTGTATCTGAGTGTGTATGTGCCAGTGCGTGTATCTGTGTGTCCGTGTGTATGTGCCAGTGCGTGTATCTGCATGTCCGTGTGTATCTGAGTGTATGTGCCGGTGCGTGTATCTGCGTGTCCGTGTGTATCTGAGTGTATGTGACAGTGCGTGTATCTGGTGTCAGTGTGTATCTGAGTGTGTATGTGCCAGTGCGTGTATCTGTGTGCTAGTTGGGATGTCTGAAACTGTGACATTTACATTGAATTTCTGACAATTCACATTTTAATGAATAACTCTGATATGTTTATCGTTTATATAAAGTGTCTGAATAGTGACACACTGCAACCTGTAGTAATTGAGTCCTGGCTTCCGCTGTTTACAATGTAAAGGTTTAAATATGAATCTCAGCCAATAGCAGGGCCGCACAGCCAGTCAGGGGATTGATTGACATCCGCTCTGACGAATCGGTTCACGGCACCAAGTGACGCAAATGGCAGTCTACGTGTTGCGCTAAACGCTCCGCCCCCAGCTCTCCAATCTACCAATCAGGCAGCGAGGCTGGAGATCGCACGACCAATGAGTGCTCGGCCTGTCGCCTCGCGCGGCTGGTTTGATCGCTCTGTGTGTGTGTGTTGGGATGAGGTAAGATGGCGGAGTAGCTATCCCCGGAGCAGAGCGGACCGCCATCACTCCCGGTTGCCATGGCTCCCTCCCATAACGTGGTGCTGTTGGTGGACACCGCGGACCCGGCAGCCAAGCACCGAGTCCGGCTCCTGTCCCTCCGGCTGCTCAATTTCCTGACGTGCCGCGCCGGCCTCGGCCGGGTCCGCTGGAGCTACCGCTTCCTGAACTCGCTGGGCGGCCGCTGCAGGCCCCCGCGCCGCTCCGACCTGCGGGAAGTGGGCCCCCGGAGCTGGGGGGAGTTCGAGGAGGAGCTGGAGGCCTGCTGGGAGCGGGCTGGGCAGAGCCGGGCCTGTCACACCCCCAGCTCCCGGGCCGGGCTCACCCACACCGCCCTCATGGACACCCTGTCCGACTTCCAATGGGACCGGCCGGACATCAGCTCCCCCACCAAACCCCTGCGGGCCCGGAGAGCCAGGAGAGGGCCGGCCGGGGGGGAGGCGGCCGACAAGGCCCAGTGTGGGAGCCGCGATGGCGGTGGCAATGCCGTGTTCCTGCTCTCCCCCTGCCCCCACACCGCCAGCCAGCTCGGACACTTCACCACCGGCACCGGCGGGGACAGCGCGGGGGACACCGGCCTGCAGCAAGTCATGGACAGACTCCTACCAAGGGGCCTGCAGAGCATCATCACCAGCAGGAGGGTCACCCTGCACTGGCTGGACACCATGGACTGGGCACAGGTGATGGGCTCCCTCATTAATATGCAAATCTATTACAAATAATCACTAATCCATTAACCTTCCTATTCCCCGCGAGTAGGACATGGATAACCCAATAACCCATTGTAGGAGCGGTGACGGCAGTGTCCTCCACTGTGTGGTGAAGTTTTAGGGTTACACTGTGTCCATGTGATGTTGCTTATTTCGGTAATTGTCGGTAAATCTGTAGTGGGAAGTTGTCATTCCCTGGCTCTGCAGTGCTGTGTTTACATATAGTGGGGTGTTTTTCATTTTGGTTGTAAAAAAAAAAAGAAAAAGAAAACACCACTTGTAACTTTATACTCATTTCGTGTAACAAAAATTGTAACAAAGAGGGATATTCTAGGCTACAAACAAAACTTTAATGCATTTGGAATGTTTTGGCCACATCAATGTCCTGTAGTTATATTGTAAAAAAAAGAAATGCACAACAAAGCCCCATGTTCCTACTGGTATATCCACACAACCTTCTTTTAAAAAATGTGTTCCTAACTGGGTTTCTACTTGGTGTACCACGCTGCTACATGTCTGTGTTTGTCATTCCCTCTTCTCCCCACCATTATGTTATCTGTCTTTTTTTGGCACATCGTAGTAATTCACTGTCTATAATCATCACCTGGCATAGTGCATTCGACTGCTGTGCATGCTTTCATTTACTTGCCAGCACACCTCTTATGCACTTCTAAACTGCATTTCCATAGTCCAATAAAGTATGTACTTCGAGAACGCAAGAATATGGCATTCCTGCACCTTCTGTGAATACACACTGCACTGGTCTATGGAAATGTCATCTAGGAGTGTGAGTTGTGCTGGCAGGTAAATGACAATATCAGTCAAATTAGTGAATGTTATGGAAAATGTTAGGCACTGGATTGCTCCAGATTAGAGGGCAAAGAGCCATCTTGTACAGAGAAGGCTATCCCCCCCCCACCCAAAAAATAAATAAATCCTATAGTGTGTTTTATAGACAATAACTTGAGGTTTAAATGTATAGCAAAAAAAATAAAAATCAAGATTTGTAGTAGTAGGTCAAATGAGTGAAGTGCACCTGTTTCAACTATTCTTGGTGCTATCCAAATTCATGGCAAAATGTATATATTACAAACCACGCAATAAAATAATTTACATACCTGTATGCTGAGAAATTTTAGGCAAGAGAACCTTCCTCCAACTCTTGCAATACACAATAAAAGGGTATACCAACACCAAACCATATGCTAAAAATGAATGCAAGGGTACTTTTACTTACTCAGTACTCCCTCAATTACTAACTATACAAACATCAAAAAAGATAAGAATGCACACCAGTAATATGTGTAATAAAAACACACTTTGTTCTACAATATTTAAAACCTCATATATGCATACTAAGCAGTAACAAAACATCTACAATTTCTCAGCGACATTTTTGAAGTTTTGTACATCTAGTGCAACACGTATGAACCTGACATGTCAACTATTGGTACACTGGAGAGGGGATAAGTATCAGAGCAGGATTAACCACAAGGGAACCCTGAGGGTAGATATGGGCTCCAGATCTATGAATTTGCTTGGCCCAAGTATAATCGCTATGTAAAGAATGAAAGAGGTGAAAACAAACCAGTACGCTACCTAGGACCCTTAAGCAATGCATTCTATTAGTGGTTTCCAAACCAGTCCCGGATTTATACATTTCGTTATTTTATTCCAATGGAGAAACTGACAAAGCCGGAACTGTTGGTCGTTCTTGGGGACTGGTTTAGGAAACACTGCATTATATCATAGCATTAAGAAAACTGCATGAGGCAAACCCGTGCCTCAAAACTAGGTTACAAAATTTATTAAACTGGTCGTGCTATGAGGTCTGGTGGAGATTGTCACCAGAGGAATACGGATGTCATTTATCAAATAACATGTTAGTATACTCACATGTTGTATTGAAATTTGATATCTTTATCATTTGATTGTTACCCATTGAGTTGCAGAAGCCAAGATAACTTCTTAAGATCTGTTTCACTGTTGTAATATTTAGTTTTTTAAATAAACTTTCATTTCTCCTGTAGGTTTGGAATTTGTCAGAGCATTCTGGTTACTTGACAATGGTGGAATTAATGCAGCTTATTGGAGGAAGAGTTCTGCCATCAGCATCATTACTACTTTCTTCAAGCCACCAACTATCCTTTAGTCATTTCAATCCAACTACAAGTCTCAATATCCCCTGTGATTCTGTTCTGAATTATGTAATATGCAGTGAGGCTGACCATCGGCTGCTTTTTCCACAGCAAAATGGTGTTGTTTTCTTCATACCACCTGGTAATTGATTTTGCTGTTTTGCAAGCGCATTTTCAGAATTTGGGTGATCCATAGTTCCGATTTCTAAACAGTGTTTACATTTCAGGTGTAGCTGCTGATCGCTGGGAATGCCCTGTCACTTTAGAACCTCTTTCCATAAGCCAAAGACATTCTAAGAGTTTAACTATTCGGCTCAAAGGAATTGTACAGCACTGGAGCCAAAATCAGAATAGTTCTCTTACTACAGAGACCTGGATACTTCAAAATTCTGCTGAAGATATGTCATGCTGTCACTTACCAGAGCTGCTGCGTACTCTTTTGTCTGGAAGACTACACATGGTAATTTAAAAAAAGAATTCTAAATTTTTTTTTCTAAGAATAAGGTTCAGTCAGTACACTGTGTTTTCCCATGCATTTTTAGTGGGTTTATGCTGCTGACATAGGTAATGCTTGATTAAACAAGGATTCACATGGTCCTTGTACTACTAAGCATTGTATAATTTTTTGAGTGTCTGCATGTTGGACGTTATGTTTGTATAAAAGTTTGTATCCCTGCATTGTTTATACTATTTTGTAACGGGAAATTTAAAGTCAACTTGTTACCTGTGAAAATGCTCTAATTAGAGGTCACAGCTATATTCACAGGTTTTTAATGATCTTTTGTATCAGATCTATTCTTGATTTGTCATGTATCTTTTATGAAAGCTAACTAACAAAATACTTCACGACTAACAACCTTAATGTCTGCAAATCACATACGAAAAAAAAAATTGTGCAGCTTCTTCTCAGAGGTAAATTTAAAAGGTTACTCCAATGCTTTTAGCTATACGTTTTTTATTTATTTTTTTAAATGCAGAATACCCTATTGGACATTATTCTCCAGGTCATCCCATTGTAGGGCGAAAAAAACAAAACTTAATAAATAACGTTAAAAGCAACACTATAGGGTCAGCAACACAAGCCTGTATTCCTGACACTATAGTGTTAAAAACACTATCTAGCCCCATTGCCCTGTCCCCCTCTAAATACAGCAATATCTTACCTTCATTCCAATCTGTTGGTGCTGGCTCTGCCTCCTAGGCTGACATCAGAAGTGATGATCTCAGCCACTCACAATGCTTTCCCATAGGAAGGCATTGGATTGACTGAGATTGTCAATTCTGATTTATTTTAGCCTAGGAGGCAGGTCGGGGCAGAGCCAAACACCACCATAGCCAATCAGCATTTCCTTGTAAAACTGCATTGACTTAATGCATCTCTGAGGCATGTTCAGAGTCTCCATGCAGAGGGTGGAGACAATGAATGTCAGTGGTACAGCATTTCCCCAGTGGCCATCTGAGTAGTGTGTAATGTAAACACTTCATTTTTGTTTTGTTTTTCTGGGGGGGAAAAAGTGTTTACTGCAAAAAGCCCGCAGGGACAGGCTATACTCACCAGAATTACATTCAGCTGTGGTTGTTTTGTTGGCTATAGTGTCCCTTTAAACTTTCCTGTAATCCAATGCCCTAGAAGCTTTTGCAATGAGCTAAGCTCTGCGGTGTAGTGCTTGGCTCGTTGGCTTAGAGAGCTCAGTTTATGCTTTCTGCTAATTGGCGCCTGCCCTGCATGGTAGGGCTTGTCTCTGTGGAGCAAACGGAAGCTGCTTTAGAGTTTGGATGGGGTAGGTGTCAAGCACCTAGCGGACCCCAGGTAAGCTATCAAACAATTTAACTAAATACTCTTGGCGCCATAATCACTTCAGCAGCCTGCAGTGTTTATTGTGTTTGCAATATTCTTTTATGCATATTTTCTTAAAGGACCACTATAGTGCCAGGAAAACAAACTTTTTCCTGGCACTATAGGGTCTTTAGGTCCCCCCACCCTCAGGGTCCCACTCCCGCTGGGCTGAAGGGGTTAAAACACTTACCTTTCTCCAGCACCAGGCTCCCTCCTCCTGCCGACATTGGCACCGAATGCGCATTCGCAGCAAGAGCCACACGTGCATTCAAACCGCCCATAGGAAAGCATTTCTCAATGCTTTCCTATGGACGTCCAGCGTCTTCTCACTTATTTTCACAGTGAGAATCGCAGAAGTGCCTCTAGCGGCTGTCAGTGAGACAGCCACTAGAGGCTGGATTAACCCTAGTGTAAACATAGCAGTTTCAGAGAAACTGCTATCTTTACAGCTGCAGGGTTAACACTAGATGGACCTGGCACCCAGGCCACTTAATTGAGCTGACTTGGTCTGGGTGCCTATAGCGGTCCTTTAACTAACAGTTCCTTGATCTTTCACCCCAGTAAATGCTATTCCAATGTTTGGTGTGAGTATAGCAGTGGAGGTCAGTTAAAATAAAAAAAATTCAACTGAATTGAATAAAATGACAAGCGCATACAGGATGTCAGTCAAGCTGAGACAGAAGTAACACCGGTGTTGCTTTGGTTGCACTTTTGTGTTTGTGCATCTAACCATAAAATGCCATGTGTGTTCGGCATTTTCTCCAGCAGTGACATATATGAGCATGCACCATGTGTGTTTATGAAATTACATACTTTCCCGGGCCTGCGTGTGAATTCAGATAAAATAAATCACAAAGAATTTTAAAATACATTTAGCGCAACTTACAATTTTACAAGTCTTACTGACCTATTGTTTTTCAGGCTGCTGATGTATTTACAGAAGAAGATCTGTGCCCTAGAACAGGAGTCCTTACCCCTATTTCACAGACATCCGCAATCCTTAATGTGATTTGCAGTGGTGAAAAAGATGGATTGGGCAAGTTTTGTTTACCTGAAAGTCTTAATAACTGTGAGGATACTTCTGACGACCTCTCTGACATTGTAAGCAGTGCCCTCAGGAATGTGTCTCCATTCAGTGACCACACTTCAGTATCTGGTAAGCTTAAGAACTTCAAATGTTTTCTTCTTTTAGTGAGTGAACTGAGGATGTACTCAAACCCTGCCTATGTTATGTAAGCATAATCGATACACCCTGGTTACCCATATTTTTTAAAGAGGTTCTCATACAATATATGATCAGAATATTTAAGTTGCTAAATACTTTTTCAATCTGTACATTAAGTTGGCTAGGCAGTCAGTAAAACATTGTTTGATTTGCATACATAGAACCATCTCAGTCTAGCTGCATGATGTTTCTTAGGTGTATGCTTAGACCGCATGCGCTGCAATCGTACCCATAAGTAATGTAATTTAGGGTGAGTTGTAAGCTAAGTATACAGCGTAATTTGGATGCACACAAACTAGAGCCATAGGTTTCTCCAGTATGTAAAATTAAAATATAAATAAGACTTCACTAGTAAACACATTGGAGATTTATCAAAATTTCCCACACAATTTTGCGTTTTTTTTTTTTTGTTTTGTTTTTTTTTTAACACTCTGACCATGATTTTTGAATATACATCATGTTTGGAGACGCAACAAGTTTATCAATCTTTCCATCACTTTTCTGCCACAATGGTGTTCTGTATCACTTCTTTTTTGACTGCAACTCTTAATTTGGCTGTCCTTTTCTGCAACAAGAATGGTGAAATTTACACAGAGAAAAGCAGACACATTTTAGATCGATTTAGTAGAATAGACTGGAGAACAAAAATTGTAATGGGTTGGGATGAATGGAATCACTATGCAGCGAAAGGAAAAAGCAAAGTCACTTAACGGAAAGGCTCTGAAATAAAAAAGTCACTGTGGGCGACTTCTTTAACAGGTTAGTCTAAGAAGGGCGGGCACGCAGTCTTTAGCAGGTTAATCAGTGCTAGGATCAGGCAGGCAAAAGTTAACTTGGGAATCCTAGACAGGGTCGGGCATGCAATGGTTAACCAAGGCAGGGTCGGGCACGCTAAGGGTTGTTAACCAAGCCTTCCCATGAGGAGGGGTCCATGAGCCTATATAAGTAGATGGCCCCCTTTTGGTGAATAGGCTTCCACACTCCTTTTGTGGACAGGATTCTTTGTTGGTTTGCCCTTTAATTCAGTTGTTCCCCACATATGCTGTGATGGATCCTCCATGCTTGTAACACCCTGAAGAGATCCTGGAATAGCGTAGGGGACAAACAATGAGGATTTGTGCAGAATGCCTGCCAGGGAAGAGGCAGGCTGATGGACTAGCAAGGCGTGCCTCCTTTCCCCTGCAAGCTGCAACCCTAGTGGAGTGGCTAACAGGGCACTGTGTGCCGCAGACTAACAGCGGAATTTGCCGGAGGCCAGGAAGCAGGCTTGGCCCGTCCCTCTCACTCAGGACGCAGAGATCCATGTGGTGCGCCTGCTTCTCCATCATGCGATGACAAAAATACAACTCATTTTAGAACACTTTGATAAATCTCCCTAATATATTGAATAAGGAACGCTATAGCATTAGGAATACAAACCGGTATTCCTAACGCTGTATTGTGCATTGTCCCCTTACAACCACCCATTTTTATTTATTTATTTATTCTGACTAGGTCTCCGTCTCCCACATCGTCACAGTAATTGTGGGCTCTAATACGCATGCATTTCACTTGCCACCATGTGCATTAAAGCTTCCTCATAAGAAAACATTGAATTAATGATTTCCTTTTGTGAATTTGAAGATGTTGGACATCCTCATGCAACTCTTGTTTGAGAACAGGAAGCACATCTAGTGGCTGTCTAGAAGACGGCTACTAGTGGTGGACTTAACATTGCAATGTAAAGATTGCAGTTTCTCAGGAACTGCAATGTTTTACATTGAAGAGTTCAACAGATAGGGACAATGCACCCAGACCACTTCAAGAGATTACGTGGTCTGGGTGCATATAGTTGTCCTTTTTAGACAGGCCTCTAGAATACTTATGTTGAATTTGAAAGCTCTTAAAATTTAGCAAAACTAGCGAATTTGGAACGTAGTTTTTACAATCAGTCTACTTTGATCTCAGTGTTAAAGTTCAACATTTTAAATCCATAGCAGTTCACGGTTTAGTGTGTAAACGGTAGTATATTCATAAACTTGCTTTCCGTGCTATAAGTGTATGTAGAATATTGGTTCATCAGAAGTGAACTGCTTAGGCTGAGGGAGTGGTTTTTGATGTTCCACTGATGCCAGCAATATTGACTGCAGCTGTAAACGGAGCACTACACAATACAATCTGCAATATGTTATGATATATGCACACAAAATTGTTGCGTACATTGGTGAAGTAAATTACTTAATTGCTGGACTCTATATAATTATTGTAAAAATTGTGACATTCTGTACATTTGTAAAAAAAAAAATATATAAACACGCACAAAACTTAAAATTCTTTTGGCTTACGTTTTATTGTTAAATGCGAAGTCTATAACTCTTCAAACGTTGTCTGTGAATGTATTCACAAAGCATCAATTTGACAAAGGACAAACATTATAATTGAGATTTTTTGCAAACCATGGAATAGTTTAAGTAACCCCAACACAAATGCCTTGGATTTCTTCAGAATCTTTTCCACACTTCATGTCTTATAGTAAATTCATGGTAGTTAAAGTGCCTTTTATTCCTAAACCCCATTCTTAAACGTATTTTGAACTGGAAAGTAAAAGTAGTTTTGTGGATATGTGTCTAATAACAAGGTATTTTTTACTAATGTTAAAAATCAGTAAATTATAAAAATTTGTAAAATGTAACCATGCACCCATTTGTTTTGGTGTTTTTATATCAACCACTAAATCTATTAATGGACAGAATGAAAAGCCTATTCACTGTTTTGTATTTAAATCCTATATCATTTTTAATTTTGTACTGTTGTGGTTTAGATCTTCCAGTACCAGAGTGGATTAACCAAGAGCTTACTCAGAAAAGTCGATGGAACTCTTCCATTGTTGAAAAATGGTATTCCTTATCTGGAGCCTCTGGTGTTAGCTGTTTCCTAATGGAATCATTTAGGTTAGTTAAAAGATTTTTAAAATATAGGTTTGAAATATTAATGTGTTTAACCTTCTCAAGTTGTAAACTTCTGGATGTCTTTTGTCTTAATATGTATGCCACATATAGCAATGGAGAGCATTGATTGATTAAAGGGACACTATAGACACCAAAACAACTTTAGCTTAATGAAGCAGGTGTGGTGTAGAGCTCATGCCACTGATACCATTGCTTGATTCTCTGCCATTTTGTTGCATCAGTTAAAATGTTTTGGGGTTTTTTATGCAGTCCTATTCACACCTCCCCAGCCTTTCATGCAGCAGGCATGGGGAAAAAAAAAGTTTTTCGTTTTCGGTCAGGTGTTAACTTGCGGTTTTTTGTTTTGTTTGTTTGTTTGTTTTTTAAATCTCCTGCACTGTAAATCAAACTTTAATCACACACAGGAGGCTACTGAAAGAAAGTGCTATTAATGGTTGAGGATTTAGGATGGCTGTGCAAGTGACATGCAGGGAGGTGCAATTAGGGCTGTCTCAACCATGATTTAACTCCTAAATGGCATAGAATTGAGCAGTGAGACTGCAGGGCGTGATCTATACACCAAAACTGCTTTAATGAGCTAAAGTCATTTTGGTTACTATAGTGTTCCCATTAATATGTCTAAGGTCTCAGGTCTTCACACTAGTGAATCTTTCAGTTGTTTAAGGGTTTAAATTATTGAACAGGAAGTGGTAGTTATTGAAATTTGGTTAAAACAATGTTTGGTGTGGGATTTAATTATTCAATTATGTCTTTGGTGGTGGAGTGATTTCTCCTGCATATCGTATTTGCACAGATATGGTTTACTTTCTTACCAAACTCCGTTATGGGACACCCATAAAGGGCATCTCTACAGTTTCTAGTTGGATATCGTTTTATTCCCCCCTCCCTCAACTGAATTAATAATGTAGTATGTTCAATGTGTAATTCTGAAACGTGAGAGAATGCACTGGAGGTTTAGTGTGCATGTATTTCCACTCCTTTCTTCATTCATGTCAGTGGCACATTACATCATACGCCCCAGTCACTCTTCTGCTTAGTAGACTACTCTGCCTTGTCATTCAAAGTCATTGCTTCTCTAGGTCACTTGTATACCTTCCCCTTATAGGGACATGGTAGGCACCAAGACCACTTCAGCTTATTGAAGTGGTCTGGGTGCAATGTCCCTTAACCGTACAGTGGTAATTATTGCAGTTTTTTTTGTAGAAACGACAATAATTACCTGCTACGGTTAACTCCTCCTTTGTAGAGTGATTTCTGGGTGCTTAGATGACTTTTGATCGTTTTAAATGACGCTGGACATCTGTGCGCTATTAATTAATGCTCTTCTACGGGGAAATCCTAATGGTGCACATGCGCGGCAATGGTCGCACTCAAGTTTTCGCCGGTTGAAGTCGGCGGGGGAGGAGCGTGGGCAGACATTGTCCGAGCGCTGAGGGACATAGTCGCTGGATTCAGGTAAGTGAATGAAGGGTGGGGGCGCGTGGGAGAAGGGCACTGTAGGAACCTATAGTGCCAGGAAAACAGTCACTATGGCATCCCTTTACCATATTTTTCACCCAGTGCTGCTACCCACTTTTTGTATGTGTGGTATTTTTTGTTTTTTTTTTATCAAATGTACTTACCTTTGCTTACCGGGCAGGCCTCATTCCAGGTATCTAGAAGTATAAGCGGAGGCATTGGGGCTGTCTAACCACTTCCTGATGGTGGTTTTGTTATGAGAAGATATTGGTGATCAATCTGTGGATATTCTTCCTGGGCTTTGCATACTGTGTATATATACAACATTCAAGGTTCTGTATTTTGTAAATCCCTTGCAGGTTAATCCATGCAGGTGCTTGTGATGAGGATGATCCATTAAAATGTGATCAGGAAATCACACATTATCTGTCCGATTACTATGAGCTGAAATCCAATGAAGAGACGGGAATTGCTGCACAAGGAGAAAATCCCAAAAAACGTACGTTTTCATCATGTTTCTGAAGAGATTGTTCCCCAGACATGGCTTTTGTAATTCATATTAAAAAAAAAAAAAAAAAAACAATTTTAAAGTTCTTTAAGGAAAGAAGGATTTGAAATTGTAATCTATTTTTTATTTTTTTATTTTTTTTGTGGGTAATAGTTAAAAAAAAAAGTATGAATGCTCTTAAAGGACCACTATATCATTAGGAATACAAACGTGAACTTTAATGACACCCAGGCTTGATTTTGTGACATCTTGTTAATTTATAGGTAATTAAGAAATTAAATTAAATAATTTCTGGCCTCTTGTTGTTGAATGCATTGTTGTTGAATGCATTGCTCGGTTATTTAAAAAAAAAAAAAATTGACATCAAATGTTTGTAAATATACTACTTCACGATGGAAGTGGCTTGCTTATCTCTGCATACCTCCTCTATGGCATCAATAGGGCAATCAGTACACTAGGTTTGCAGAGGTATTCCTCAGACTGAATGAGAGCTCTTAAAGCTTTAGCGGAAATAATTTCTGGCCTCTTGTTGTTGAATGCATTGCTCGGTTTTGTTTTTTATGCCGACTTTACTCAAATATAATCGCCTTTACACTCTTTAGCGCCTCTTTGACAATAGTTTTCTTGAATAAAAGAGAAAAGAGTATAGTATGAAGAGTTTTTTTTGTTTGTTTGTTTTTTTGTGCCTGTAACACACATTTAGGATTACTTTGTTAATTGGGCACTCTTCAGTTAAAAGATGTCCTTTATTAACCCATTAGGACACATGACATGTGTGACATGTCATGATTCCCTTTTATTCCAGAAGTTTGATCCTTAAGGGGTTAAACACTGTATTACATTGGAACACAGTGTGCAGGTGGCGGGCATGAAGGAGCGAGATACTAAGTACCTTGTACATCATAATAGCTGTTAATCAGTGCTGTCTTTGAGTATATGCTAGGAACTGCACAAATCACTTTGTTGTCTCCCTCCGATGTGCACTGCATGCATATTGTGTTCTAATTTAATACTGTGTGTTTAACCCCTTAAGGACACATGACATGTGTGACATGTCATGATTCCCTTTTATTCCAGAAGTTTGGTCCTTAAGGGGTTAAAAGGAACATCTTTTTGAACAAGCTGTGGAAGCATTTTTTTGGGAGAAGAATTTGCCCACTTTAGTTGCTGGACCATTTAAAAAAATAAATTTTCTTTACCTGCTTTGAGACTTGTCTACTAAATTTGGTCTTGGAATTCACTCATGAGATGCATCTACTTGAAATCGCCTTTAGACTCCACCCTGATTTCATAAAATTTATTTTACTTTGATCATACTTTTACCATTATTTAACTGTGTATGGTTTTCAAAATGTAAAATTCATTTTTTTATTTTTATTTCTTTTCTTCGTCTTCTTCATGTAAGGTCTTCCAAGAACTCCAGTGCGGCAGAAAATGAAAACCATGCCCCGGGCTTTGCAGATGCTTAATGCTGCCAGGCTTATTAAAGCTCAGAAATCCCAGCCTGATAATGTTCTAGCTGTACCTAATGAAAAGAATTCCCAGGCAAAGAAGAGAACATCAGACAAACAAGACGATAAAGCAAAGTCCCTGAAAGTCACTGGTAATAAACTATGATTTTTGTGCTGTATACCATTGAGTTGTAAGTTAAAGGAACAGTCCATTAAAAAGAGAAAAAACTATATAATAGATATACCCCTAAAGGAAATATGCATGTAATTTGTTTTGCATGTTTTCTTTGAGGGTAAATGAATTCTTGGCTTGTAATAGCTACATATCTAGTATTTGCGGCTTCTGCAAGCCCTTCCCACATTACTCAGCACAGACTGTTTGGCTGTCCAATCACAGACTTCTCATTCAGGTGCTCTGGGCGATTGCCTGATTCTGGAGTTGAGCTCGTGGTGCTATACTGCCAGGATGTAATAGGACCTACTGTCTGACAGCCAGAAGATGTAACCTGTTTTTTGTTTTTAAAGAAAACTGTGCTTATTTCTTTTGAAGTGGACACTTTTATGAAATGTAAAAAAGCACACACTCTTCATGCATAAAGCATTTCAGCAAGCTTTGTTTTTAGTGTTCCTTTATTATTTTCGCCATTTATATAGCGCCAACAGATTCCGTAGCGCTTTACAATATTATTAGAGGGGGGATTTAACTATAAATAGGACAATTACAAGAAAACTTACAGAAACAATAGGTTGAAGGTTGGGCCCTGCTCAAACGAGCTTACAGTCTATAGATTTATGAATAATTTGTAAACTTCAGATTGTCTGTAATGAACATTTAACATATTAAGATATTATTTTATATAAAGTCCAAATAGGGAAATAAAATGCCTGAATCCTATTTCTGCTTTAGTGTAATGTTTATTAATAGACTTGTGCACCGCAAAAAAGGTGGCATGTTTAGAAAACATCCAGTGGCTGCAGAATTGCTGCCTAGTTACTTTAAATCTTAACTGGTTCGGGGAGGATGACACTAAATGGTCCCCCAGCACGACCTGTGAGTGGAGGTACTTTAAAATCAAGAAGGGTATTGACTAATGTTTAGGCTTTGTGTGTGGTGGGTGTATTATGCTAGATATAAACTGTAACATTTGCTTTGTAGGTTTTAAATCTGAAGATGAACTGTTTGCTTTACTAAATGAGGATTATGAGAAGGCTATTTCTGTTCAGGAAGATTCACTACTAACTTGTGCCAAAAATGCCATAACAACCATCAGATCATACATGAAATCAAACCTCCCTGAACTTGTTGAGGTAAATAATGTTCCTTTGGCCTGACTTCTTTTCTCTTTACTCCCCCTCAAAATATGTAAACTTAATTCTCATATTTTTTTGTAGATGGATTGTGTGAGCAGAATCAGACATCTTTTGAAGACCAGCAAGACCATTAGACAGCTTTATGGGAATAACCAGAAAAAAGAAACTAAACTTAGAGAGTATGTAACGGATTTCTTTGTTTGACTTTTACCATCTTTATCAAGTATAGTCATGACTGTTATGTAACTTAGTTTATTTCTCTATTGTAGATGTCAAATCCAAGTATTTCTAAGGTTAGAAATGTGTGCACAGTGTCCAGTTCTACAAACAAACACAGATGACCTAGAGCAAACTGTTGAAGAGGTCAGTTTTAGCTTGGTACTCTGAATTTCTAAAGTAAGACAGGTGTATGCTATTTTGCTTATAATTTATACTGTGAATTACATTCCCTTTTCATTAAAACTTCATTGTAAACTTGAAAATGAGAAAGGTCACCTGAAGATACATAAAGTACATGTAATCTAATATGGCGCTGTTAAGATTGTCTAGGTGTCACATTTCTTTCATATTTTAGTAGTATTTTGATACACACAGAAAATTTCTAATAGTTTTTTTTTCTTCCTCCCAGATAACCGATATGCTGCGTATTATCTCTTTAACAGAAGATCCATCGTTTCTCACAAAATTTCTTAATGAAAATGTACTTGTAGAGTACGTATTTACTTGTCTTCTTTTTCAATGTCCACAGTTTTCTGTTCTCAATCCACGTTTCAAGAATAAGCCAATTTTAACCCCTTAAGGACCAAACTTCTGGAATAAAAGGGAATCATGACATGTCACGTGTCCTTAAGGGGTTAAAGCAGCTCTGTCACTAAACATAAACCTTGTCCAATCTGCTTCTCTATAGCTCCGTGTGTCTGAATTTTATTTATTTTTTTTTACAAAACTTAACAAGGGCCAATGATTAAACTAAGGTTCTATTTCATATAAAATGAACTGTTTCGGTTCACCTTATGCTATGAATACATGCTACAACACAAACAATCTATCTTACATACACCTTGTAAAATTCTTCTTATATACAACAAATATTAAGTGTGGAAAATAGCTAAGATGCTGATGGAGGGGCCTAGCTAAATATATATCCCTTATTTTCCCTCTCCTCCATGGACATGTGAATAATATAGGGTCTTTGCAAAAAAAGCAAAGAACTTCAGTTTTACACATATGCTTTAAGTTCAAGCTTTTTTTTTTTTTTTTAGCTGGATTAATCTTCACTCTTGAGTGAGTCTTCATTGGTATAGATCTAAACACTACTTGTAAACTTTAACACTTGTACTAAACTGCAAAACAAATAGGGTTTGCTTCACTTCAGGATTCTAAAAATTATCCTTGTCCTATTTTTTTAAATATAGAACTTTTTTTGCTTGACATTCAATGTGGTTGAATTATTGAATTTACAGGTATATAACCGTGATGCCTAAAATCCTGGCAGAGATCTACTTTAGTCTGGGGACACAGATACCTGAGGATTTGGCCTTAGTTCTTCCTGCAGACGACGAGGACTCTATTGTTCATGAAGGCATAACACCAGTATATTCTCAGCCATCAGTCTCAAGGGTTCCCAGCATTCCTCAACTTGTAACTGAGGAGGACCAGCTTGAAGAGCTGCGTACAAAATCTGCCAGAAAAAGAAGGTAACTTTTTAGTGGTGTAGTTTACATTGGCGTGTTTTTTTGTTTTGTTTTTTGCCTTATGATATACAGCTGTATGTCCAACTACATTTAGACTATATTTTAATCTCATTTAAATACCAGCTTCATGCTATATTACCAATTCACTGCCTCTGAATTGCTTTCTTTCTTTTTCTGTTAGTTTTCTTAGTGGGGTTTATCCTCTTAAATGATGAGAATTGAACAATTCAGGCCAATATAATTGAGTTGGAGAATTTTTTCCAGTTCTGCTGTTTTTAGCTTTAACATGAATTTGTCAGTTCTGTACTAATTCAGTTAAGAAAAACCAACATTATCTGCACATTGAAAACCTCCATTTTGTATTCTTCAGTTAACGAGAAAATAACGGTTGGAGTACACCCATACCCTCCACCGCTATTTTTGTAATGCATTATATGTAAATACACTAAAAATATGGATAATAACAAAATTGGGTAATTGCTAAATCTGCATCCATTGGTACAATGTGCTCTGAATCCTGGGACTTATTATAAGGTGAAATGGAGCCTCTGGTAGGGAATCATTAGTTTCCAATTTTATAAGGAAGGTGGAGAGTAAATATGAATTTGAATGTATTACTTATGCTAGTAAGTAGACAACAAGGACAAACCATAGTCAACACAACCAAAACACATTCTGTGGCCAAGGACATACACAGCTCAATGTGAATAATTAGTGGAAAAAGTCTAATAAAATTCTTGTGCAACATTGAATATTTATTTCACCAACACAGTGGGTGTCATGGGAAGTTATAACTATTAATTAAATGAACTAAAATTAGTAGTGCATTTTTAATACAATTTGTATGTCTGCTTTTATTAGTGAGTTGGTATCCCGGTCCATCTGTAATTTCTTTTGTTTTGTAATTATTTTTTGTTGATTACTATTTTCTCTTCTCATTTTTGTTTCTGTTGCTATTTTCTTCTTGTTTTTGATTATATAGTATTCATAAAAATAATTTATAGCTTGATAGGTGGGGGGGAGCAACTCATATTTGCTTTTATTTTTTAATTTTTTTTGATTGTGACTGATATTCATTTGCTGTTATCTTTGTGCTTTTTACTTGTGATAAACCTGTTTAATTTTTTGTGTATCTGCTTCCTTTTTTCTCCTCTACTAAAAAATATAGTTTTAAAATTCTGTATTGAACATTAGCAGGCTTCATCATTATCATAATTCTTTGCAATTTTCTAAAATGTAATGTGTCTTTTGGAACTAATATTTTTCCACTTAAAATCTATTTTTATTAATTTTTTTGGCATTTAGCCGCAGTACAGGAGGGGATGTTCTACTTACAGGTGGTCAAGAAGCCTCTGTAATGAAATATGCAAATTATTTGGCAAAACCCTCCCAATCATACCTTTAAATAATGAGTCTGCCAAACTGTCCTCAGTTCTTACTTTCCCAGTGTGCGGCACAAACCTGCCTCTCAGCAGGTTCACAATAGTGAAGAACACTGGCTGCTACTTGGGGGGGAATGGCCCTGGTAGTTCCCTGGATGGTGAACTGAATGGCAGCCAGTAGGGAGCCGGACGAAATTATGGATCAGTCTGTACAGCTCAGTTTTATTTCTAATTTCACTTTTATTAGGAAAGTGAATTATCTTCTAAACACTGTGCTCAACTGGTAGAATAAGCCCCCATTGAAGGCTCTTTAAAATTAAGAAATACACCAATCAGAAAACTGATGATTCCACTAGCAGGTGAATATAAAGAAACAAAAATTTAAAAAGCTATTAAAAGCCCAATGGCCAATTAATAAAAGTTTATCAAAATTCTGCCTAAGATGTTAAATTACACTTGCAGAACTGTGTTTAAATTATGTAAATATTTTGTGAGTAAACATACAAAATAGAGGAATATTACCAAAATAAACAGGTTACAAATGGCACAAATTGATAAATAATACAAATAGGTGTGATGGTTGGCACTTAATGTGACTAGGTGTGTGTATAATTTTAGCAGCTATAACACTCTAGTGGATACCCCTTATATCACACAAATAAATCCTCAAATATAACAAACACAAACTCCGTGTTTATGTGATGTACTCCACCAGCATGCAGCGCTAAAATTTGTGTGGGAGAACAACCATTTAAGGCATATACCAGGGCAGTATGTAGACCTTTAAAAGGAAAAATAAACAATTAGTGCAATTCCCTGTGGTAAGTACAAATTAGTATCAAAAGTGAATGAATGTGAGGTCGTGATACTAATTTGTACTTTTTATGTTTGATTACTAACAATGTTGATTTAAAAAAAAAAAAAAATCCGCTTAAAATGCACAATATTGTATGATGAATATAAAAGTTCTTGTTTAGAACAGTTCAGGGATAATGTGACCGCACGGATATTTCAACTCCTGCTATTCAAACAGCCGGAGTCATTCCTAATTAGCTGTGATTTATTTTATTTTTTTGTACCAAGGTGTTTACACGTAGTGGTACCGAAGGTTTTTCTGTTCCACTCAGAATCTGGACCATTAAACAGGGTCCTATAAGTTATGAATGCCAATCTATAAAATGGACAAATACAACAGAGCCATAGTGCTCTCCATTAAATTTTATTGAAAAGTATAGATCAAGATTAAAAGCACTCATGGATTCACAAGGATAAACACAGCTCATGAAAAAGTGGAGACAAACTGTTATCAGCGCTAGCTGTTCTCCCACTGAAAATGCCAGCTGAAGGGGGAATCTTATTTCGGGCTATTTAACCCTTTAAATAACAAATACATTCCCCGTTCCTTTTTAAACCATTAAAAAACTAATTTAAGTCCATTATAAACATATTATTCAATAAATAAGGGGGGGCATTTAAAAAACATAAAATAAATGCATTAATAAAAAACTAAGCAATTAAATTGATTCATGTACCTGGGCATATCCTTACATCAAAAAGACCGGGTCACAGTCACCACAGATGCTTCATAAACTGGATTTGTCAAACTTAAGAGAAATGAAAGTGCTTCTGGAAGCTTTACTTTCCTTCAAGCACTCGAATATAGGAAAATTGTAAGGATTCAATTAGACAACATCACAGCACTCACTTGTCTGAACAAATAAGGAGGAACTAAAGTAGAATCTCTGTCACGCCTCTGCACAGTTCATATTGTGGTCAGAAAGAGGAACGTATGCTGGATTTCCTGCTGAAGGTCTACTTCTAAGATTTACAACCAGAAGGTGTACTTTTAAGATTTACTCAAATCTGGAGGGGAAAAAAATTCTAGTATGGTGCAAAGACCCTGACAGCTTCAGGTTACCTCCTCCCATTCAAGTTATTCTTTGTTTTCTTCAAGATGTATCTTTTTTTTTTTTTGGCAGCATTATCCAACCCATCATTCTTCCCACGCTATGTCAACCTCCTTCTTCTCATAAGGAAGCCAAGTTACATTTGTTGGATGGAAAAGAACGCTGGAGATCTCAACCAGTCGTCGGCATTCTGATTATCTGATCAACTTTTTGTCAATTTTCAGGGTGCTTTATAAGGGGAAAAGAAGCCTCCAAATCAACAATTACTAGATGGTTGACAGAGGCCATCAAGATGGCCTATCAGGTGGTTGGTCAATGCCTTTCTACACATATAAAGGCTCATTCCACTAGAGCTATAGCTACCTCCTCAGTCAGCACCTTCATTTGTCATTACAGGCTAGACTTATTTTCCTCCTCAGAAGCTGCTTTCAGACATAAGGTGTATTGGCAGCTGTCACCTGACTGACCCATCCACATTTGCGGATCTTGCTATATCCCTCCTGTACTGCTGCTATATGCCAGGAAAAACTGAAATTGTACTTACCATAAATTATATTTTCCTTAGTGTAGCAGCAGTACAGATTTCCCACCCTGTAATTAACTATTTCTGTATATATTTTGATCTCCGTATTCTTATTTCTTGTTATTACTGAGGACTGTTCAGATCTATTACATAAGGTCTGATGTGGAGGGTTTTGCCAAGTTTGCATATTTTATTTCAGAGGCTACTCATCTACCTGAAAGTAGAATATTTCTCTTTTACTGCCGCTATACTAAGGAAAAAATATTTTATGATGTTTATAAAATTTCTGTTTTCTGAATTTGAATCAGAAAATCATCATGCATGTATTTTTTTTTATTTTTTGTGACCTTATGATTCTTTTCACTACAAAGGTGTGTTGTTTTTTTTTTGTTTTTGTTTTTCTTCTTAGTACCATAACACGACACAGGAGCATTGCAGAATCATCCCAAGTAATGCGTCAGATTGAAATTCCTAAGAAACAAACTAATAAAGTAAGAATGTTCTTGCCATTAGTGAGAGAATTATGTATATATCATAACCTAATCTCATGTTCCTGTTATTTGCAAGGCCTTTTAAATGGAAAAAACTGTTTAAATGTTAATTTTAATGATCCAGAGAAAAATGTAACCATGTTAGGAAACATTTTCATATTCGCACTTAAAGGAGCATTCCGGTCACCATAACTTTAAAATTACGTTGTTATGGTGCTAGGAGGCCTCTAGGCGTTCTCTTACCTTAATCGTTCTCAAACAATTTAACCCCAAAGGTTGCCTCCAGCTCCAAACTGGCTCCCCCCGGTGGCATCTGGCTTCTGAAGCGGAGCTAAAGGGATTGCGGTGTGCCGCCAGGCAGGGGCACAGCTGATTGTCTAGAACGATCTAAGTCGATCAATAGCTTCCCATTTATAAAAAAAAAAAAAGTACTGAACACTCTAGCCAATCAGCAGTACCCCTAACCGGCAGCACGCCACACTTCTTATAACCTTTTGAGAATGGTTTAACTCCTTAAGTTAAGAGCGTGCCCTGTCACCATACCAAATTAATTTCTGTGAAGTTTATGGTACCCAAACTGTTCCTTCAGTCAGACTGCAGGTTTTAGTTTTGTTTTTCCTTCCATGAAAAAAGGTGTCTGTAAGCAGCTGAGCCTATCTTAAAGGAACATTGCAAGAACCATAACTTCTATAGCCTATTGAAGTGTTTATGATGCCAGGAGTGCCATATTGCCATCTCGTGACCTGTCAGCCTGCTTTTGTATGGTTTGTTGCCTGGTATCCTGAAGCGCACATGGGCTGTTTCCATTCTTCTCAAGCTGTAGAAGGTGGATATTAATTTTGTGCAAGATAAAAGCTCATTCATTGGTGAAGAGCATCACAGGGACCCAGGTAAGTGATCTGTGCTAAAACAGTTTGGCAGGTTACTGTTTGACAGTCAGGGCACTGGTAAGATTTGCATCCACTACAGTAGGCTATGGAGGTTGGAGTGTTCCTTTCAATAATGGTCCGATCGTAATTCTCAAATTCTAAATTCACAAAAAGTAATTTAAGCAGTTAAGGACGGGTGGGCGTTCTATGCCTTCCTTTTTGGGGTGGCTCTAAACGCCAGAGGGCGGCATTATTATTACGTTATTTATATAGTGCCAACAGATTCTGCAGCGCTTTACAGTGGGTGGACGAACAGACATGTAGTTGTAACCAGACAAGTTGGACACACAGGAACAGAGGGATCAAGGGCACTGCTCAATTTGCTTACATGCTAGAGGGAGTGGGGTAAAGTGACACAAAAGGTAAGGATAGTATTGGACTAATGACAGTTGCAAGAGAGGAATCAGTCGGGAGCTATTAGAACATAGAACGTCTCCGGCTTCCTTCATACTCATCAGCTCCCCGCTGATCCCCGGACGGTGGTCGCTATCCTGGGATATGCCTGGGAGATCAAGCACACCCCTTCTGCCCGATCCGGCCCTCTCGGGCCATGTGATCGCAGGATCCTCGCTATTACATGGTCGTAATAGCCGGCTTATGCAGTGCCTGACCAGGCTGTTCCCCTAAAGCCTGTAAAAAATTTTTAAATGTTAAGATAAAGTTTTAAAACACTATATATATATATATATATATATATATATATATATATATATATATGTATGTACTTTTATATTCACATACATAAACTATTATTCCAACTGTAGTTTGATACTAATATAAATATATTAAAAACCAAAGAAAAACAAGTTACTTGCGCTCTCTCCTTAATCCCTATGTATTTTTAAACAAATGGAGTTTTTTTAGTTACCTTCAATGGCCATGAGAGGATAAGTCCACCTGCCAACGTCAAGGCAGACCCCTGCCAGGTGGGTCCTAACTCTAACCATTCACCTTGCTTCCTTGAGCTTCTGGCAAAGATCTCTGAGATATAAATCTATATTTAAAGCAAAATACATTTAGAATGACGTTATAGATGGATAGATATATATACACACACACATACATACAGCTATATTTAAAAAAATTATATATATTTTTTTAATTTAAATTCTGCATATATATTTAAGTCATATGTCATTTAATTAAAATTTGAGGGACTTGCCTGACAACCCAGGCATAAAGTCCAGAGAATTTGGTTCACAAGCCCTATATTTAACCCTGTAACTTTCCAAGACACTATATAAAACCTGTACATGGTGAACACCTGTACTTCGCTGAACTCAAATATTAGTGTTTTTTAAAACCATAAAACGTCACAATAATGATAGTCAGTGAAAGTGCCTTTTTTTTTTTTTTTTGCAGTTTTCACACACAAACAGTACTTTCACTGACAATATAGTTGTGATAAATTTTACTGCTTAGAAACACTTATCTTTGTATTCAGCGTAGTCTCTGGAGTATAACAGTACCTCCATGTACAGGATTTATTTATTTTATTCTATTTTTAAGTTACAGGGTCAAATATAAGGCTTGCATTTCCATTTTTTCACATTAAAATTTGCCAGATTGGTTACGTTGCTTTTGAGACCGTATGGTAGCCCAGGAATGAGAATTAGCCTCATGATGGCATACTATTTGCAAAAGTAGTCAACCGTAGGTATTGCAAATGGGGTATGTTCAGTCTTTTTTAGTAGCCACTTAGTCACAAAAGATACAAATGAAGCTTGAAAACCTTTATTCTTCATTTGCATCTGCCAACTCTTCCTTGCTGCAACGGTCTTTTAATGAATCACATTTTCATTTTAAATGATTTAACATTCTGCTTAAATAATGTGTGTTTAATTCATTGTATTTCAGGAAAACTTGTACTCCAACCCTGTTGTTATGGTTGAGAAATTAAAAATGCCTGACCCAGTTAAACCAAAGAAAGACAGTGAAGGTATAAAAACATTTTTTTCACATTTAAATTTTTATATATTTTTTTCATTTAAAACTTACAGCCTGTTATACACTATATAATATCGACAATAAAATACCAATTACGAGGACAAAGACAAACGTCCTAACAAATTCTAGTAGTGTTTAAGGCAGAATATTAGTTAGCACAGTACTGTGTATGTGACCTTAAAGTATAGTACTTTGGTTTATATACAAAAAAAATTGTACTAGTATGATCAGACACAGATAATATTACTGTACTTATTGAATTTAACTGCCTTGAGTATTTTCTTCCGATTTAATATTGACCGTAGAAAGGCTAAACTGTTACTTCCAATTGCCTTGAAAGACGGTGAAGGTATAACATTATTTGCCTTTTGATTTTGATCTTTTACGTTTTTTGGGGGTTGTGTATTTTATGTATATTAATGATTCAACTTTTTTTTTTTTTTTTTTTCCTCTTGTCCAAAGCAACAAAAGCAAAGCGTACACTCTTTGAGAATAAAACACCAACAAAGAAATGCCATAAAATGCCGAGAAGCCAATCTGTATCTGCAGTGGAGGATCTTAAACATAAACGCAGTAAATCAAGTGATGGCATAAAAGGTAATAGATGGGTGTTTCATTTAGACGTTTACATATTTGCACGATTCCCGTAATGAGTGTGTTAAACAAATATTGGATGTGTTGTAAAATGTATGCCTTTTTTTTTTTTTGCTTTTTTTCATATTCAATTTAGAAAACTACAAGTTGCTGACCAAAAAAGTATCAGAGACCCCAGTTCGTAAACAGATATCAAATAGACTTCTGCATAAGCAGATTAAAGGACGGTAAGTATGTTTATTTTTTTTCTTAACTTTTATATGTAGCGGGGAAAGGCTTTCTAACTTTTGCAATCTCGAGGTAGAAAGATCTATAGATAGAGCTATCTCGAGACTGCAAATGTTAGAAAGCCTTTCATGATTTGATTTGAACATTTTCCAGGTACAAATGTAAACAACCTAGATTTGAATAGACAAAGATTTCAATTTATTCTCCTAGATATTTATGGAACTTCTATTTGCTAATTTTTTATTTTTTTTTACTAGAAATGTTCTCCAATTTCTAACTGCTTTTTAGAAGGCATAAACCAGGGTTGGTTTTCTAGATATGTGCAAAAATATATTGTACCTGTACTTGTTATGGTACAACTCGACAGAAATGAGTAAGTGTCCCACAAGTCATTCGGCATCTTACTTTTGTGTTGTCTCTCTGTTTGCCGTACTGTTTTGTGTGTTTTTGTGTTTTTGTGTTTTTTTTCTTCATTTCTTTTTCCTCCTACTGGTAACCTGCACAAATTATTGTGTAATTATTCTCATGTTTGTATGTGTGACTGAAATAGTCAGTGCTAATTAAAAACACTGGAAAAATAATAATGCTTTACTGGTTCCTGACTTTTTTTTTTTTGCTGTGTTTTCCATTTCTTTCTGACAGTTGCATTGTAATCTGAATTTAGTACTTTGCTTTCAGGCGTTCTGAATCCACATCCAACATCAGTATAGTGGAGGAATCACCAGAAAAAGATATAAAAGGTAATACGTTATGTGCTTGCCTTTGCTGTGTTTGTGCTTTATTTTTTCCTATATTTGACAATCTTGACAAAAAGTTGCGGTTAAGGCAAGCTCCACTTTCTTCACAAAGGAAGTGAAACATGCCTTAAGCCCCACCCTTTGTCAAGATTGTCAAGTGTAGGAAAAATACACAAGGCAAAGTAGTCCCTACTTTTGTCTTGTTTCAATGCTGAACAGATTCTGGAAGTGTAAGAGAAGAGGAAATTACAGGAAAAAGGTAAGTTTGAGGTGACAGAGCCACTTTAGTTTTTGTTTCTTATGTTGCTCTGCAATAAAAATTCATATAAAAAATGCTGTCCTCCAGTAAATACATTTGCAAATAAGCCAACTTTTTATACCTTTATCTCAATTCAACTCACTACCAGGTATGACTGTTGGTGCTTTACAACTAGTTTTCATATGATATTGTCAGTTCTACGATTATAGTAATCCTGGGCTTGATAGATGTTTGAGTCCTTGTGGGTGTCATACGATACACATGTTTTTATTACTGCATTTCATCCATCCTTCCCCAGTCTCTTCCTAATCCACCTCTTTCCACATTAGATAAAACCTGACAGACTGTTCACTGTCAATACATGGTTCCAGTTACTAGCTGTGTAAATCGAATTATTTCTTTTATAATAGACATTGATGTAAGAAGAAGCCCACGCATTAAGCAGCTGGCATTTTCACAGAGAAGCTCTTCTTTTTATGCATCTCAGCCAAAGTCTCGTAATCTGGAAAGAGTCCATTCATTCACTCAACAACAACTTGATGCTGATCACACAGGTATCATGCAGCACTCTAGAATGGGTTGTATAGTATTGATTTTTTTTATTCTATTGAACATGCCATACGTACCAGACAGTTTCGTTTGACAGAATCAAGCCATTACAGTATGTTTTTAAGTTTAAAATCAAAATATTGTATTCTGTGTTAAGTCATTTAAGGGAAAACAAAGGCAGGGGACACTCACAGAATGTTACTTGGGCTTTGAATGTCTGTTTTTAATTTTGCTTTTCTATGCTTACAATGTGTTACATTTTTATTTATTTTTTCTTCCTAGCAAACCGTTCTATGTCAGAGATCAAATCACCTAAACAACTACTTTTTGGAGAAGTGTTAAAAATGACTAGTCCTCCTGCAAAAAAATTTAATTTGGATGGAGTAGAACGTGTTGATTCTCAGGTAATTTCTGGACATGAAATAATATTCTAGAATGTTTAGTATTGACATTACAAAAATCTTTATATTTCTTCTGTTATGTTTTACAAGGGTCGAGGGAAAACAAAGAGGAATATTTTATCTAAAGCATTTGAAGACCTTCGAGAAAAGGAAAAATTGCTTAGGAAATCCCCACGCACACCCAAAACGCCCATTAGGATTTCAGATAGGCTAAAAACTCCTTCCAAGAGTACATCCGAGAGAAAGAAAGCTGCTAAAAATTTAGTTAAAATGTTTTCGCCCAGTAAAGTAAATGAACCCCCTCCTTCTAGGTCTTGTGGAAAAAGTGACATCTTGGCACACGTGACACCTAAAAAATCTATTTCACCAAAGAACTTGTTTGTCTCTCCATTAAGGAATAAGAGGGAGCAAGCTATATCTCAAAGAGAGGACATACCTCAATTTCCTGTTTCTAAAAGGATACTTAGGACTCCTACAAAAAGTTCAAATAGTACAATGCTGCAATATGTTTCAGGCACACCTACCAAATCCCCTTACAAGTTGCTTGAATCTGTGGCTCCATTTTCCACTCCAAATAGGTATGTTTTTAGAACTCCACAGAAACCTGTTGTGGGTTCTGTATCTCGAACACCTACACAAAAAGAGGAGGTTTGTACTCATACGTTACATTGTGCAAATGAATGTACTCCTGAAAAGCAAATTCTACTTTCCCCTGCAAAACGTATTTCTTCACAATGGTCCAAATCACCTCATGGCATGTCCAAGAGAATATATTCTAATTCTCCTTCACACAAACATTCTTTGGAAAACAATTCAATTTTTCTTTGTGATCAAACACCGAAAACATCATCACAACTTATAAAATCTAGTTGTACCCCAAAATTTACAAGGGCACTTGAACCCCCCTCAAAGTCAACTAATGGACATCCATGCACCAAAGCAGAAGAAAATTCTAAAGCACTGTCAAATGTTTCAGTGCATATTCAACAAGGAGCTTCTGATGGGGATATTGATTCTTGCCAAACTTCTACCCTTTCTAAGGAATTTATTTCACCAACTACTCCTTCCATTACAAAAAATAAAATCTCATCTCCGTGCTTGAAAACCACTTTAATATCCAACCATTGTTCACCTAAATGTAGAATTGAACCTGTTGTTTTATGTGAGAAGCTGGACCTTTCTACCTTAGAAAGCACCTTCAATTCAGAATCATATCTTAGTGGTTCCCAAACTGAAGAAAGCATTGATATAGCTGATGCTGTTGTTGTGCCAACAGAAACATCTGAACTTAAGATGAAAGTTCTCATTACTCGAAAATCTTCTAACTCTGGTTTACAGAATAGCCCATCGGTGACACCAGCATGTGGGATTAACAATGCATCCACTAACTGCACTTATGGTCTGCGCTGTACTCCTGATAGGAGACAAAGAGAAGCTGCAGCTCGTCTTGGAGAAACACAGATACCTGCACAGTTCTCAACCCCAAAAAGTCACAAGTCTTTACTTGCTCCTGGTATACCAACTTATGAGGTTGAGCTAGAAATGCAAGCATCAGGCCTGCCAAAACTTCGCTTTAAACGTACAGACTCCGGTTCCACAGTTGATATGGAGACAGGTAATAGAACAGAGTCTCCACTTGTAACTAGGAAATGGAAAGGTGAAGAAAGCCCTTTTAGTGAGAAATGGTGTAGTAAACATACAACAAAACTGGAATCTTCTTGTGTTTCTCCTTCATTCTTGCGTTCTCATGCTACACCTGGAAAATGCAGCCACCAGACCCATATTTGTCTGTCATATACTCCAAACAGGTGCACTTCTTACACTTCCTCTTCATCGCAAATAGATGTTGGGGTTCCTTGGACGCCGTCCCCGAAATTTAAGGAAAAAAATGGTAGCGATGCAATTAATAATTGGCCCAGGAGGAAAAAAGCATCTGCTTTAAATTGTGTTTTAAAAGGAGAAAAAAATCAAGAATATGCCGATCTTCATTCAATTGAGGAAGATGTTGGAGTTCTTTCAAAGCAGGAGGTCAGTAAATCTTCATCTTTGGAAGATTTTGAACTTGAAGGGGTTTCAAAACTTCAGGAGAAATCTCCCGTGCTGCAGTGGCAAGGGACAGGTGACTCTAGGACATTTAGACTTAATTCAAGAAAAAGAAGCCTAGGATTTCTATCACCCACTGAAGAGACTCCACAATCTAAGAGGCAGTGTAAGGAGCGTAATCTGGTCAGTGAGAGAAGTCAGTTGATGGATACAATAGAAATAAGCAGTCCATGCCAAAGGTTATCCTCAAATCGAAGCTCATCACAGCAAAGTTCATGTGATGATGACGTCTTCAGTAATTCAGGTAATATAAAAGATTTGTTTTTACAAAAAATGTTTAATCTAGTTGGAACGGTCATGTTGCTAGATATTCAGTATCGTGGAACCTCTGAATTTGAACTTAATCCGTTCCAGAAGACTGTTCGAGTTCAGATTTGTTAGAGAACAGAGTCATTTCCCATAAGAATTAATTTTACAGTTTAATGCTTTACATGCATAAAATCATATACACAATGTACAGTAAATACAATGAGCATTTTATTTCACTTTACCTGTAATGAGAGTTGATGGCGTAAGTGGAAAAGAGAAAATATATTGTTTAGATGGGGATAGGGTAACTGTTCTTCTGGCATTAAAAGTGTATAATTGAACATGTTTGTGGCATGATTTGTTTGGGTACCGAGGATCATTTGCGCACCGAGATTTTTTTGTTAGACTTCCGAGGTTCCACTGTGTTGTATTTGCTGCCCCATATATTGAACTAATGTTTTTGCAAGGTGCGAAAATAAAATTAAATGTAGAAATTCACACCTCCTTTAAACTGAAATTGTGCCCCTCTTACTCCCTTACCATCATTATTACAAATTTTGATTAGGTTGGCAGATTGCATGAAGGATGCAGAGCAGGAGAAATTAAACATTGTTTCTATTTTTGCTTTTTACTTGCTTTGTTTGTCCTGGCTTCCCCTTGTCTGAATTGGATTTGATGAATTGGTAAAAAAAAAAAAAAAAAAAAATTATATACAAATTTTAAAAGAACATGGAGCATCACATGAAAAAAAAAATATATATTTTTTTTTTATCTTCAATGTTTTTTCCAGTGGTATTCAGTTCCCCTTTAATGTGGATTTGTTAACCACATTTGATAGTTTGTGTTTAATAGTGATCTTCAGTGTGTTGAGCTAGGGGTTTATTCTTTGCTCTAGAGGTACAGTCATGGGATAAAGAAAGTATGCCCTCTTTGAATTCAATGGTTTTATATCATATCAGGACATAATGATCTGTTCCTGAGCAGGTCATAAAATTAGGTAAAGACAACCTCAGATGCATAACACCACATGTCATGATTTATTTAACAAAATTGAGCAGCCATGTATGAAAAGTACACTCTTATTGCTTCCATAGGAATTAAGAGGCTAAGTAGCAGATATGTGCTTCTATTTAAATGCCCATGATTAATTGATAATCAGCAAATGTGACCCCCTCTATCAAACTATGCTGCCTATCAAACTGGGAAGAGTTATAAGGTTATTTCCAAACAATTTAAATTCCATCATTCTACAGTGGGAAAGATTATTCAAAAGTGGAAACCATTCAAGGCAGTTGCCAGTCTTTCCAGGAGTGGATGTCCCAGCAAATTCACACCAAGGTCAGACTGTTTGATGCTCAGAGAAATTGTATAAAACCCAAGAGTTAAATCTCAGACTCTACAGGCCTCAGCATGTTAAATTTCATGACAGTACAATTAGAAAAAGATTGAACAAGTATGGTTTGTTTGGAAGGATTCTCTAAAAAGACCATGGCGGCACAGATTAAGTTTGCAAAGTTGCATCTGAACAAACCATTTTTCTGGAACAATTTCCTTTGGACAGACGAGACCAACATGAAAATATTTGGCAAAAACCAAACTCCGCATATCAGCAAAAACATCTTATACCAATTGTCAAGCATGTGTAGAGGGTGATGATTTAGACTTGTTTTGCAGCCACAGAACCTGGAAACCTTGCAGTCATTGAGTCAACTATGAACTCCTATGTATAACAAAGTATTCTAGAGCCAAATGTGAGGGCTTCTGTCTGACAGCTAATGCTTGGCTAAATTTGGGTTATGCAACAGGATCAAGATCCCAAGCACACCAGCAAATCTACAACAGAATGGCTGAAAAAGAAAAGAATCAAGATGTTGGAATGGTTCAAAGTCCAGACTTCAACTCTATTGAAATGCTGTGGTGGGACCTTAAGAGAGCTGTGCATAAACAAGTGCCAGCAAATCTCAATGAACTGAAGCAATGTAAAGAGTGGGCTGAAATTCCAATGTGAGAGACTGATAGTCATACAGAAAACAATTACTTAAATTTATTGCTTCTAAAGGTTCTACAAGCTATTGATTCATAAGGTGTACTCATTTTTTTTCACACATGGATTTTCCATTTTGGTTTTATTTTTAACTAAATCATGACATGGTGTAATGTATCATGTGTTGTTCATCTGAGGTTGTATTTACCTAATTTTAACTCCTTAAGGACGGCAGGCGTTCTATGCCGTCCTTGGGGACCTGGTCCTAAATGCTGGCAGGCGGCATAGAACGTCCCCGCCATTGTATTCACTTACCCGGTCGCGGGCAATCGCGGTGGGGGGGACTCACCTGGCACCTGCTTCCGACCCTCCTGGGCCATGTGATCGCGAGGTCCTTGCGAGGACCTCACGATCACATGGACGGCATAGCCGTCCACAGCATTGCCAGCAGGGGGACTGCCTGGAATGAGTAGCCACTTAGTCACAAACACTGGCTAAAATTGGCATTCAAATTAGTTTTTTGAATTTTTTACACACAAATATTAACGCTAACTTTGGCTAGTGTTTGTGACCAAGTGGCTACTAAAAAAGACTGGGCATACCCCTTTTGCAATACCTTGGGTTGTCTACTTTTGCAAATGGTATGTCATCATGGGGGTAATTCTCATTCCTGGGCTACCATACGGTCTCAAAGGCAACGTAACCAATCTGGCAAATTTCAATGTGTATTTACTGGAAAAAAACATGCTATTTTTGCCCCTTTAACTTCCCAAAACACCATAAAACCTGTACATAGGGGGGTACTGTTTTACACGTGAGACATCACAATTATTGGTATGTTCTGATATATAAAAAATTTAAAGAGGTTGTGCCTTCTTTTTCCTATGACTGTATAACACTAAAAATACTTGTAAAGTGGTTAATCTATATATATTTTCTCACAAGTTGCTCCAATTTTTTTAAAATCAAATTGGGTGCCATTAAACTATTAGTTCAATGATAGTTGTCATAAAATATTTCAACCCTCAAATTCCATGTGTTTAATATACATTGCACCCCCACTCCCCCTGATAACTACACCATATTTATGGTATCTTTCTTCCCATATTGACACAAGTCTTCATACACACACCCTATTATGTATATGGACTCATCGCCTTGAAAGAGACACTCTGAGCACTAAAACAAGTTTAGCATAATAAAGTGCATTAGACTATAGGGGCATAGATAATTCCCCTGCAGCCACATTGCTAGATTATCTAACATTTAGGAGTAAAACCAGTTTGTTGCTTCCCCAGCCACAAATCCCTTTTAAATTAAAATTGTAATATCTGCAAAGTACATGCACAATTTGAGGCTTTGAAAATGTCCCAGAGTGAATTTTTGAGATATGCTTGCACTTAATGATTCATGAACAGTCTAGCTTTTAATTACCTGCATGTTTTGGTCTCCTTCTCACCAGAGGACTTAAAGGGACACTGTAGGCACCCAGACCACTTCAGCTCATTGAAGTGTTCTGGGCGCAATGTCCCATGTCCCTTAACCCTGAGCATGTAAAGGGGGAAGCTATAGTGCCAGGAAAACAAGTTTCAATATGTTAGAGAGGATTATTAAATTTAGTAAAATCCATTATACTGCCTCTTATGCTACAATGGGAAAAGGAATTAAACATTGAATGGGAGGCTCCGCAATGGTATAGGGCTATGAGATTGACCAAGGCTGTCACATACAACATATAGAAGCAACACATAAAATATGGTTGCAATGGTATATGACACGCCAAATATTGGCACATATATACCCGGGGAATACGGGGTGGTGCAGGGAAGCGTCGGGGTCCATGGCCCATATGTTCTGGTATTGTAAAATGATTAGGATTATGTGGAAACATATCCAACAATTGATATTCAATGTCACCACAAAATGATGATTATACATATTTTAATGGCCACAAAAAAATGCTATAGCTAGCCTATAGAAAACCACACAAGTGCCATCATTACACAGAATAAGGGAAAAGAGTTCTAATACTAAAACCTACGAGGAAATGGCATGCAGGATAACAGGCAAACAGATACCTATGAAAAAATGTGGGCAAGTTGGAAGTGAGGGGAAATCAATCAGTTGGATACTATGGATAGATATTTAATATTTACCAAAGGAAGCGCCATAAGGCTTTAAACTGACATGGGTCTTGGTAGTGGTAGAGCACTAATATAGGGGTTTGGTTAGGTTGTTACAAACTAACGAGATTGTAAATGTATGAAAGCAATGATTTATTATAGTAACCTGTTTTTTTCTTTTGTATATTTCTTTTGTTTGTTTGAACAAATCTGATTTTAGGGTCACATTTTAAGTTTAATGCTAATTGCTGTGCATACAGTTAGATCAAAGTCAATACTAATTAGACCAATATCCATATTGGTTCAAGCGGATTAACACTCAACCACATAAGATTTAGGAAACTGTAAAAGTATGTACCTGTATAAGGGACTGAATGTTCATTTACTGTTGCGGGTGACTGCTGATCTGACTATATAAGAATTAGGGATCGACCGATATTGATTTTTTTAGAGCCGATACCGATATTCTGTGAACTTTCAGGCCGATACAATTTGCCGATATTCTGTACATTTACCATTTTGGAAAACAAAAACTATTTTTCTAAAGGTAAATGCCCAAAATATACATGCCACGTGTAGTGGATGCAGTGTGACGGGGAGCTGTGTGTGTTGGTGTAGTGTGTGTTGTGGATGCAGTGTTTGTTTAGTGTGTGTGGAGGATGCAATGTGTGTTTGTGTAGTGGATGCAGTGTGTATTTGTCTAGTGTGTGTAGTGGATGCAGTGTGTATATAATGAAAGCAGAGTGTTTGTGTAGTGTGTGGGTAGTGTGCGTTAGGTGAATGCTGTATATACTAAATGCAAAGTGTGTGTGTAAATAATGAATGCAGAGTGTGTGTATTTGACTAGTGTGTGTATTTGTGTAGTGTGTTTATATAATGCAGTGTGTGTGTATATAATGCAGTGTTTGTGTAGTGTGCATTATATACACCCACTACACACACTGCATTATATACACACACTACACAAACACTGCATTATATACACAGTTCTTTTGTATAGTGTGTGTATATAATGCAGTGTGTGTTTGTATAGTGTGTATATAATGCAGTGTGTGCATTGTATACACACACACTGCATTAAATACACAGTGTGTTTGTGTAGTGTGTGTGTATATAATGGAGTGTGTGAGGGGGCATTTTTTATTAAATTATTATTTTTTTATATTTATTATTTTTTGTTGTCCCCCCCCCTCCCTGCTTGTTACCTGGCCAGGGAGAGGGGATATAGCAGTCCCTGGTGGTCCAGTGGTATTGGCTGAGCTTTGGGGGTGGGGGGGGGGCAGCAAGCGCTTACTCACCTCCAAGCAGCTCCCCAGTGCAATTCTCGCGGCCAGCGTGTCGCGTGAAGCGTTGCCATGGTGATCCATGGCAACGCTCTGATAGCCGCAGGAGCCAGAGGAGCTGCTGGGAGGTGAGTAAGCGCTTGCTGCCCCCCCAGGACCGCCGAGCTTGTAATGAGCCCGGCGGTCCTAGGAGGTCTTATTGGCAATATCGGTATCTGAATTGGCCGATACGATATTGCAGAAAATACCGAATATCGGCCGATTATATCGGTCGATCCCTAATAAGAATAACATAAATTGTTTTTGAATGTGTTAATATGGTTGAACAGACTGCAGACTAATATATTTGTAAATTTGAAGGGGAAAAAAAAGAAATTTTATTTAAATACAAAAAAAACAATTACCAGTAATTATGTTAATACTCCCCATATGGATGCATTAATTAAATGCATCTCTGAGGAGGAGTTGATTGGCGTGTGCATGTGCAATAGTCTCCCAATGTTGTTTCCTACCATTGGATTGGCTGAGATCGTCAAGATTGATTGATCTCAGCCATGGAGGTGGCTGCATCACAAGCACGGCGTGGGAAAAGGCGAGTAAAAACACCTTTGTATGAGATTGAAGGTGGAAGGGTCACCTATATATACACACTCACAAAGACACATACTGATTTTGATACACATACACGCTTACTCACTCACTGGCAGACTCACTCACTGGCAGACTCACACACATACAAATTGTTACTTTTTTTTTATTCATTCATTCACCAAGTTTCCCTACGTTTGGGAGAGCTGGAGTGGATCAGCTTTCCCTGGGGTCCAGTGGGGCTGCTGCCATCTCTTTGCTCTGTTCCCTAGAGTGCTGTTTAGTGATGCGGGGCTGGACTGACGTGATAACCCACTCCCGGCATCACTGGAGGGAGCAAAGCAGGGAGATTACTGCTCACTTGCAACCTCCACACTCAGTCAGCCACCTGCCTGCTCTCCCGCCTTCCTCAGCTCTACGTAAGTCGGCCGCCTCCCTCAGCCCTCCATGAGGTGGTCACCTTTCAGACTGAGCAGGCTCACAAATCCCAGGGGATTTGTCAAACCCCGTTTTGCTCATAGGAGTGTGATTGCTGAAAGCACACTCCTATCCTACTGTCAGCCAGCCCATTACTTTACAGTAGAATATTCACGGTCTCACTTCCTTGCCTTCAGCTAAGCTCTGCATGCAGGTACTCACAGAAAGAGATGATGTGAGGTCACAACGTGGCACTTCACTGGCTGGCGACTAGTTTCTGGATGCAGAAGACAGTATGTGGTGACTGGAAGAGGTGAGTAAGTTATCAGTAATATTGGTAAATTTCAAGGCCAATACAAGTTATCAGTACAATGCTGAATATTGGCTCTAATAATCGGTGGAACCGATAATAATGGGTCTATCCCAAATACCCATTTAAAGGACCACTATAGTGCCAGGAAAACCGCTGCGCTGAAGGGGTTAAACACTTACCTTTCTCCAGCACCAGGGAACTCTCCTCCCTCTCCCGACGTCAGCTTTGAATGTGCATGCGCAGAAAGAGCCGAGCACGCATTCAAACAGTCCATAGGAAAGCATTTCTCAATGCTTTTCTATGTGTCAGCATCTGCTCACTGATTTTTCACAGTGAGAAGTGCGGAAGCGCCTCTAGCGGCAGTCAGTGAGATAGCTACTAGAGGCTGGATTAACCCTATTGTAAATATAACTGCTATGTTTACAGCTGCAGGGTTAACACTAGATGGACCTGGCACCCAGACCACTTCATTGAGCTGAAGTGGTCTGGGTGCCTGTAGTGGTCCTTTAAGTTCTTTCCTCACAGGTATTCAGTTGTGTTCATTACCTTTGTTTGCATCATATTTTAAAGACCAAAATGATAGTTTTATAATAGATTTTCATTTTATATTAGTGTAACTTTTTTTTCCATCACCTTTCAGGTTTTACACCGCCCAACAAAATACTGAAAAATCCCTTGTCAACGAGTGCTCTTCTGACACTTACACAGTCCCCAATGCTGTACCAGGGCAAGACACCTTTATCCAAGAGAAAGATGATGCATGGTAAGGTGTACCTGTACTGGTCATGTGAAAATATTGCATTACTTTAAAGGGAATAAAGTTAAATCTGTGCTTGTGGTAGATTTTCTCCTCTTAAAAGATAGGAACTACAAATATGGCCACTGTGGTTGACTTGTGCACATCTTCTGTACCTCTAAATTCAACATCCTCTATCGTTCAGTAGCGGGTAGCTACATACTTTACACTTTGTGGCATTCCATGTTTGAATGCGAATAAACAAGAATGGAATACAGCTGAAAACAAAAAAATACATAGCACATAGTGAAGTACAATTATAGCAATTGGATATAACCCCCAATGGTTGCACTCACGAGATAATGTAGAATAGTGCGCCTTTAAGCCCACAATGGGTCTGGAGAGGTGTTCACCTTCCACGAATAGGGACTTCTGTCTTCAAATGAAGTGGGAATACAGCAGTTTAAATGAAAATATATTTATTAAGGCAATACAAAGCCTTAGTTAAAAATTGAATAAAATATAACTGAAATCTAACGCGTTTCGTCCACATATAGTGGACTTCCTCAGAGATAACACAATATAAGCAGTGATACAATAAAAAAATCAAAGTATGCATAATTCCCACCCCCAACAAAGTCCCTTTAAATAGAGCCAGTCCATGTGTTGATTGAAGAAAGTTCATGTGGAAATGCCCGGGAAACCTTCTCTCTCTTTGATTAGGGTACATTCTAACCAGCTGGTGATGGATTGTGAAAAATCGCAGCAAAATTGTGTGATCGCCGGTCCGTTTGCGTTCCATCTATGCGTTCCAGGAGGTACTTCCGGTTGCGTTCCACATACGTATTTCCGGTTTCGGGTGTAAACGGAAGTCATGGGCGCTGGAAATAGCGTTCCATGGCTTCAAACATATGCGTTCCAAATAGCCAATATGGCTTAAAACTTGATAAACTAAAAAAAACACTCAAAATAGCATAATAAACATCTTATACCATATATAATATTCAGGCATATATAACAATACAAAATAATAATAATAATGGGGAAATCCAATCCCCCGTCAAGCTTGATCCAGATATTAAATGTAAAAATTATATAATAATAAAAAATATATTAATAATAGATCATCTTGACAAAACATTGGAAATCCCCCTCTGGAACAATACATTTATTTACATTTATTTATAAGTAATTATTCTGTTTTCCTCTCTTATCACACTTTTATTTTTCTACCATAAAACTAGCCAGATCAATATTTATATTTAATCCCTTCGGTTCTAAGGTATCCAATTTAAAAATCCAATAAGTTTCGCGTTGTGCTAATTTTAATTTCCTATTGCCTCCTCTCCAATGGGAGGATACATGTTCTATACCATAGCCCATAAAATCTCTCCAATTGAAGGCCGGACATGTGTTGCAGGGTACTGGCACTGAATGGGTTGTGATACCCTTCCTTATATTAACATGCTCCATTAAACATACTTTTAAAAGTCTTTTGGTCCTTCCCACGTATTGTTTGCCACACGGACACTGCAATAAATAAATTACAAAGTCTGTGTGGCATCCAATATTAGATTTCACCGGGAAGGCCACTCCAGTAGTGTGACTAATAAACTGGAGAATTGAACCCAAGTTCATTCTTGAGCACGCACGACACATTTGGCATCCCTTAAACCCTTTAAGAGTATTATGTGTGATGACCTTCTTCTTAGGGATATCTTTTCTAGGATAGCTCGGAGCCACCAAATCTTTCAAATTCTGCCCTTTCTTATAAATAATAGATGGGCGGTAAGGTAAAATACTTCCAAGAACCGGATCTTGGAGTAATATAGGCCAATGTTTTTTAAGACACCTATTCATTTTCCAATGATCGCTGTTATATTTCATTACAAATTAATATTTAAATTGTTCGTTTGGTTCACTTCTTAAATTTTTAGTTAATAAATATTTTCTATCTTTTTTTTTCTTCAATAATCTAATTTCCTTTTCAAAACTATCAGTTTAAAAAAAAAAAAATCTAGATCTGATCTTATTCTCCTCCCGAAATATATTTCGGAAGGAGAATAAGATCAGATCTAGATGTTTTTAAAAAAAAACACTGATGGTAACAGCTATGTCCATAGGACAAGTTGTCATCATCAACCATGGCTGAGGGGCATAGCCAAATAACAAGAGTTCGTAGAAATTGTTAGAATATTCAAGATTTTGAAATCCTGGCAAAACACATAAAATAAATTGGTAAATAAAGGTTACAATAAGAACACGATTGAAAAGGAAATTTGATTATTGAAGAAAAAAGATAGAAAATATTTATTAACTAAAAATTTAAGAAGTGAACCAAACGAACAATTTAAATATTCATTTGTAACGAAATATAACCGCGATCATTGGAAAATTAATAGGCGTCTTAAAAAACATTGGCCTATATTACTCCAAGATCCAGTTCTTGGAAGTATTTTACCTTACCGACCATCTATTTATAAGAAAGGGCAGAATTTGAAAGATTTGGTGGCTCCGAGCTATCCTAGAAAAGATATCCCTAAGAAGAAGGTCATCACACATAATACTCTTAAAGGGTTTAAGGGATGCCAAATGTGTCGTGCGTGCTCAAGAATGAACTTGGGTTCAATTCTCCAGTTTATTAGTCACACTACTGGAGTGGCCTTCCCAGTGAAACCTAATATTGGATGCCACACGGACTTTGTAATTTATTTATTGCAGTGTCCATGTGGCAAACAATACGTGGGAAGGACCAAAAGACTTTTAAAAGTACGTTTAATGGAGCATGTTAATAATATAAGAAAGGGTATCACAACCCATTCAGTGCCAGTACACTGTAACACATGTCCGGCCTTCAATTGGAGAGATTTTATGGGCTATGGTATAGAGCATGTATCCTCCCATCGGAGAGGAGGCAATAGGGAATTAAAATTAGCACAACGCGAAACTTATTGGATTTTTAAAGTGGATACCTTAGAACTGAAGGGATTAAATATAGATATTGATCTGGCTAGTTTTATGGTAGAAAAATAAGTGTGATAAGAGAGGAAAAGGGAATAATTACTTATAAATAAATGTATATGTTCCAGAGGGAGATTTCCAATGTTTTGTCAAGATGATATATAACTTTTTATTTTATTTTATATATTTATATATATAATTTTATTATATAATTTTTACATTTAATATCTGGATCAAGCTTGACGGGGGATTGGATTCCCCCATTATTATTATTATTATTTTGTATTATGTTATATATGCCTGAATATTATATATGTTATAAGATGTTTATTATGCTATTTTGAGTGTTTTTTTTAGTTTATCAAGTTTTAAGCCATATTGGCTATTTGGAACGCATATGTTTGAAGCCATGGAACGCTATTTCCAGCGCCCATGACTTCCGTTTACACCCGAAACCGGAAATACGTATGTGGAACGCAACCGGAAGTACCTCGTGGAACGCATAGCTAAAACGCAAACTGACCGGCAATCGCACAATTTTGCCGCGATTTTTCAAAATCCATCACCAGAATGTACCCTAATCAAAGAGAGAGAAGGTTTCCCGGGCATTTCCACATGAACTTTCTTCAATCAACACATGGACTGGCTCTATTTAAAGGGACTTTGTTGGGGGTGGGAATTATGCATACTTTGATTTTTTTATTGTATCACTGCTTATATTGTGTTATCTCTGAGGAAGTCCACTATATGTGGACGAAACGCGTTAGATTTCAGTTATATTTTATTCCATTTTTATTCTATTTTTAACTAAGGCTTTGTATTGTCTTAATAAATATATTTTCATTTAAACTGCTGTATTCCCACTTCATTTGAAGACAGAAGTCCCTATTCGTGGAAGGTGAACACCTCTCCAGACCCATTGTTGGCTTAAAGGCGCACTATTCTACATTCTCGTGAGTGCAACCATTGGGAGTTATATCCAATTGCTATAATTGTACTTCACTATGTGCTATGTATTTTTTTGTTTTCAGCTGTATTCCATTGTTGTTTATTCGCATATATGTATTTAAAGGTTCGTTTGGGGGAAACCTCTTGGAAAGCTGCACCTATTTTTCACCACAGTTAAGTACTTTTGCCTATTTCCTATTAGTTTGTGGGCTAGGTATATTTGTACTTTCCGTGTTTTCTCCATTCCATGTTTGAAGGCAGGAGAATTTGCACACCTCCTATGGGATGTAGAGGCATACGGTT